CTCTCTCTCTCTCTCTCTCTCTCTCTCTCTCTCTCTCTCTCTCTCTCTCTCTCTCTCTCTCTCTCTCTCTCTCTCTCTCTCTCTCTCTTTTCCAAGCCAAGCCTCAAGGGTTCCGATCAGTTCAAATTTCAAAATGCATTTTTTTGTCGCTTTGAGGCTACTACGTTATCGTAGGTGTGATGGAGCTGGAATGGACTTTGCGTGCCTGCTCACTACGTATGCTGCAAATTTCATAGCAGAGGAAGTGATCTCCTTTCCCTGACTAGCAAGCCAGAACAACCTCTGCGATGCAAAGCTTTCCTTGAGTCCTTGATGCTTAAAACTGCTTTTTTAACTTTTTTTCTTTGGCGAGTTGGTTTGCTAATGATCCACCTTCTCCTTGCATTCGTCGAACTTGAATGAGCAGGTCTCATCATCATGACTACCATCATCGGCTTTTATACACCAAATCGGGAAATTACGGTTCTACCTTTACCTACATGGACTGGTAAGAACACATCCTTTTTTTTTTTTTTTTTTTTTTTTTTCATCCAGATCATTCCAGATGTAAATTAGAATGTGACAAATTACAATGGGGTATTTCTACTAATTTGATAAATTATTATGGAGTCATATGGACTCGGATACGCTTGCGAACGCCAAACCAATCCAACGGATTTCCAATAAGGTCCTCCCCTCCCTCCCTCCCTCCACTGGGGTGTCCGTCCTTATGACACTTCTTACAGAGCCACTCTTTAGGACAGAAAGGGAGAGGTGGAAAAAAAAGAAGAAGATGTTTTTGAAATTTGGACGGTCCAGAACCGATTCTTTGTCCCGAACAGAAAGGGCAGATTAAAAAAAAAAAAAAAAAAACGACAAGAAAACAAACAGCCAAACAAGCAAGGGCAAGCGTTAGGTCTTTGGGCCTAATTTTACTACTCGCCATCCCCTAAGATTTTAAATGCATCTGGACAGACACCCTGTCAAGAAGCATCCAAAAAGTTGGCGGATGGCTAGTGATGGAAAGAGGGCCTTTAGGTCCTTGACTAATGACGATTCAGTTCATTTACTACCGCAGTAAGATTGGAAGGCCCGAAAAAAAAAAAAAAAAAAAAAGGCCATATGTTTAGCATTGACTACAACAGTTGTTAGAGAATTGCTGAAAAGTTCCTTGTCCATCCAATGTGCCACATGGTAGCAAATACTTGTAAATTAAAAAGAAGGAATRATTTGCAAAATACCCCCATAAGTTGAGATATATGCCAAAATGCCCCTAAAAGATGTGGGTAGATCGGAAAGACCCTCTGACAAACAGTTGTTAGAGAATTGCTGAAAAGTTCCTTGTCCATCCAATGTGCCACATGGTAGCAAATACTTGTAAATTAAAAAGAAGGAATGATTTGCAAAATACCCCCATAAGTTGAGATATATGCCAAAATGCCCCTAAAAGATGTGGGTAGATCGGAAAGACCCTCTGACAAAAGAAATATTTTGTGAAATACCCCTGGCGTCGGTTGGACCCCCATCTTTGCAATATACCCCTGCCGGGTACCGTCCAACTTTGCAAAATGCCCCAGTACTTGCCAACTTCTCCTGGGTGCTGTTGCAAAAGGCCAAGGCCCAAACGGGGAGGTCCAGATTGCAGAGTTGCACACCCGCCTGATAGGGGCACAACACAAAGATTTCGGCCCAAAAGGGCATTCCGCTCTACCCACATCTTTCAGGGGCATTTAGGTATGTATCTCAACTTATGAGGGTATTTTGCAAATTATCCCTAAAAAAGAAAAAAAGAAAAAGAAAGATGGGGAAAAAAAAAGTTTGTTGTCCTCCAGGCCCCTCCTGTTACTTGTGTTTCTTTTAGTTCTCATGATCCAACATGTTGCTTCATTTGGGCCTGGCTGCACTACACAACACTCTACATGCATTTGGACGCTCTCTGGACCAGGTGCATTTGTATGAGCCAGACATTTTGAATGTGTCTTGGTCCAGGAAAACGTCCAAATGCATGTATAGTGCTGTGTAGTCGAGCGAGGCCCTTTGTCTTTCTCACGGATTGTGTACTTGCTCAGACTATTTCTTTTCTTTCTGTTTTGTTTTCAAGTCCAGTAGAGGCTGGATGCTAGGTAGGCCTCGGGAGGTGCCTGTTGTTGTACTCAACCAGTGGGGAGATCAGATTGCTTGTGACAGCCCCAAGGACAGTCTCCTTCCGGGGCCATTATTCATTAACTTTTTTTGTTGTCCTAATCAGATCGCAAGTCGAGCCCTACAGCGGTGCGACCCAGACCTTGTCTCTAGACCTAGACCTACACCAACCCGCACCTTCCGAGGGTCTCAGACGAGTCGCCCCGGGCGCTACCATAGGGACACCCCGAAATCTCTAGGACGACCAGGACACAGGAGGCTGAGGAGGGGTCACAGATATGTGGTCATTCCCCACCTATATCACATCTAGCAGACTCTATGGGTGCCTACCACCCTTCTACTGTCAATGCGACAACCCTCCCTCCCCTGCCTAAGATGAGACCCCTACCCAGAGACCCCTACCCAGAGACCCTTTCCCAGATTCACGCCCCAATCAACCCCCTCAATGGGAATGCAGACAGGTACCAGCCCGGATGAAGCCCAACCTGCAAGCATCGTAAGATAGACATGAGGGCCGCCCTTGGGAATCGTATATACCTAACACCCGACCCCCTACCACTACTCAAGGGGGGTGTAGAGAGCAGGGCCGGGGCGGGACCCAGAATTGTACAATGTAAGTATGGACTCTCGCTGGTGTACCATGAGGTCGGGAAACTACCATGGTACCCAGTCACACCCATGACACACCAGCAGAGCCAGTGCATAAAATCGAGACCGCGCACACAGAGGTTGATTTTTTTCTTTTGCTGGCGTAGACACTTTTCCCAGAAATGATCTGGAAAAAAAGATCAATCATTGATCAGCTAATTTAGTGGCATACACACACTGGGATGAATCAGGACATGATGAATACATCTGGAAATTATGACTAGGTTCATCAAGTTATTGGGTGTACGAGTATGCAATACTATGCATGCAGTGCCATGCACCTTCGACAACTCATCTTGGGCTTTCTTGTTGCACCTTCACCTTTTCTGCAGCCTGAAAGGTCAGCCCTTTTTTTTTCGTGTTTTTTGGACTGGTCGGTTTCTCATCGACATGACGACGACATCAAATTGAAGGTTAAACCACCAGTTTACATGAGCTTAGCTTGGCGAAGCTACCTTCTATAAGGCTTGCGAGCCTGCAATTGCTGTTTTTTTAAAAAGTGGCTTGCCGATTTCGCTACCGGCCCAGGCCCGAATTGAAATGCTCTTATACCGCGTACCCGGGTAAGAGTAGAAATGACACTCAAGTAGTCTTGTCATGAATTCGCGCACATTAGACATCATACATCGACATGCAAACGAATTGAGACTCCATACATCATGATCCCAAAATAATAATAATAATAATAATAATAATAATAATAATAATAATACATCGTGCAACTCATGCCACAAATGTCGACTCCCCGACACCACGTTTCAACTACAGCCCAGTAGTCATCCTCCGGGGGGTTACCTCCTACTTCTCCCTCAACTCTCCTCCCTTCTTTGCCTCCTAACTCACTCCCGCGTTGCTAATCCCAATGATGCTCCGGAAAATCAGGGTCTGAATAAACGCGTGAGACCTGACTGAAGGGATTTGCTATGACGCCCGCACTCATATTTAACTACCGCATCAGGATTCCTTGGTCCCACTGGAACTACAAAAACTCAGGTCCTTCTATCGCACCAGGTTCTTGAAACATCCCCACCCAATCTAACGGCTTAGCCACCCATGTCCTTATGCCAGTGTACCGGTTTGGTACCCTTACATCCTGTCTCGATTCGCACTGGGCCAAACTCACCCCAGTACTCGTACACAACACACCAAACGTGAGTTCAAGTCGCCCATCCTATTCCTAAAATAGGTCGTCGGGTCAAAAAGCCCTCGCAGAGCATGAGTTTGAGTCCGTACAGCAATACCGGGCCGAACTTTCCCCCCCGTACCAAACCCTAAACCACAACACACGTGAGTTTGAGTCATGCAAGCAACTACCTGAACACTGGATAAATGCCCTGTCCAACAAATTCACACATGCGTCGGGTGAACTGGAGGGTTTAAACCACCACTACCTTTCCCCGCTTGAGCATCCAAGGCGCGGCGGCTAACACAGAGGCCCTATTCGGCCTCCGGCGGCGGCCAGGTACATCGGCCGCCCTTGGCGCGCAGCGCCCGCGGCCGATGTCTGAGAAAGGTACTGGCGGTTTAAGCAGTAAATGTCAAAATGACAAATTTTATTTTTATTTTGGGGTAACTCCAGTAGAGTCACAAAAATGAGTTATAATTGCACTATGGGCCAAAATACAGTTTGCAATTGCAGTTCAGGCACACCAAAACGAGTTATAATTGCACTATGGGGCAAGATACAGTTTGCAATTGCACTTCGGGCACTCTACCTGGCCAGAAAGGTGGGTTGTATACAATGCCCGAACTGCAATTCAAAACTGTGTCTTGGCCCATAGTGCAATTATAACTCTTTTTTGTGACTCTTGTGTAGTTTACTAGTTTCCCCTTTTATTTTTTAACATCTGCTGGTAGTACTTGTGACGGTGGTACGATCATCCCCCAGTACTACCTACCCCACAGATGGCTCCTGTCTATTGGCGGGGGGCTCCACCTGCAGGAAATGGGGTCCAGCATCCCATGTTACAATGCTGAAAATACCGCGGCCATTTGCCAGCTTCAGCTCCAGATAGTAGTCTGTGTTTTAGTGAGGAGCGCCAGTAGGCCCAGTACGTACGAGAAGGGGGAAGGCCTTGAACACGCTGGCCTTGACCGCTCGAACTTGACAAGCAGTAAATGTGTAATTTTAAACCACCAGTACCTTTCCCATATGTATCGGCCGCGGGCTCCTCACTGCGACTTTCGGAGGCCCGAAACGCAACACGGGAAGCGGATGAAGTTATCAACGGCGCCCTGGACCGGCCCGGAAAGTTCCCGGTGTTAACCGCTGCGTATTTGGTTTTCAAGAAGGGAAAGGTACTGAAGGTTTAAGTTTACTTAGTGTATCGAGTAACATCATCTAGCTGAATGTGAATCGTCCACCAAGAGACAAGCGCACGATTGTGCAAAGTTGCAAACAATAACTGTGACCAAACCAGCCCATGTGGTTGAATGGTACACAAGTGTAACCATGTTGGCAAACAACAGATCACGAGTTCGACTTATCGGAGTCTTATCCATCAAAAAAAGAAGAAGAAGAAGAAGAAGAAGAAGAAGAAGAAGAGAGCGACCCTGCCAGGCTTGGCTGCCATACCTTATCGGTCTCGTCTTTCTGCGCTTGAAATTTGTTGATGTCGCACCTTCAGGCTGTTTGGTACAGACACTGGGTATCGGAAGTTGAAGGCCCTGGAGAAGGAGAAAGGAGCTCATGCCACTGCAGATAAAAAGGCTACATAGAGACCAAGGAGGCGGGTCGTATCTTGTGTCGGCAAACAGTGAGGGGATCTTTCTCCATTGCAGCTCATACAGCTGTGTGTATGTGGTTGTGTGTGTGTGTGTGTCCTGACATGTGTGTTTGCATGTGTGCATGTCTGCTTCCATGCGTGTGTGTGTGCATTGGCATACAGCTGTTATCGTGTTCTCTATACACAACTCCACAAAAAACCACCTCACTGCTCTCTCTGACGGTCGGTTACCTGGCTCCTTTGCATGTGTGTGCGTGTGGTTCCGGCTTTTCTTTCTCTCAATCTCCCTCCCACACACGCCATGGCCCGTCAAAGATACAAAGGAGTCGTAGTTGTCTTTCACACTCCCCATGTCTGTGGGGCTTAGTGGTGTGATGGGTAGAGAGACTTGGCGCGGTGTTTGATAGACAAGCTTCCAGTTTCGGAAGAAGCTTTCCTGTTTAGGAAGCTTGGTGCTGGCTGGGTTCATGCGCATGACGGTCGCCCTTGTGTAAACCATACAGGGGTTAACTCAACTGTTCTGCCCATAGCTGTATATGTAACACAACTGCTCTGCCCATAGCTCTCCATAGGTGAGTCTACTGTTCTGCCCTAGCCGTATAGGTGACTTGACTGTTCTGACATAGCTATGCAGGTGACCCCACTGTTCTGCCATGTATAGGTGTGATGCTGTGTAGCAACACCTAAAACCCCCTGTGAAAGGGGGAAGGAAGGGGGGCTGGGAAAATATATTATCCAGCCCGTGTGGATGAATGATATGCACACATGTAACTGATGATGAACAAGGTCTGACGGAATCAGACGGATACAAAAACGTATGGGACTACCTTACCCCCTTCATCTCATCATTTTGTTAAAGAAAAAAAGGGGAAGAGGGCATACCCGGCGTAGGCTGCTAGAGTTGTTCGAAAGATTGCATTGGTATACCCAGCGTAGGCTGCTAGTTCCAAAAAATTGCACCCCAAAAGGAGGAGCTGCAAGCGGTTTTAGACTTGTAGGCTTTTAGCTATTGTGCCATTGATTCCAGGAGACCAACTACCTGACGGGGTTAATTCGTTTGTGTGTGTGTGTGTGTGTGTGTGTGTGTGTGTGTGTGTGTGTGTGTGTGTGTGTGTGTGTGTGTACACGTGTAGGGGGGGCGGGGGTTTGTATGTTTGTCATGTAGGGAAGGTGAGAGGTAGGGTTTTATTTTACAGTTATTCATGCAATGATTATTCATGCGATGTTGCTTGCTGTACCTTGTGGTTTCCGACGGACCAGCTATAGACTACGCACGCACGAGATTATGCATTCTATACAAGCACGAGATTAGGTAGAGTACAAATATCTCAAGGATAGAATGGCTGCATTACTTGGTTTCTTTCTTTTTAGTTTTTTTAACTTTTTTGTAATTATTGATGATGTTCAGTACCCAGGCGTGAGAGAAGAAGCTGAACAGAGTCTTGACATTGGAAGGAGAAGGGAAGACATTCTTCTCAGTGTTTTCACTTACATTAAAAAAAAAAAAAAAAAAAAAAAAAAGTATGATATGTAAATGCGGTTTACCACACAATGAACAAAGAGTTCCGTCAATCCATTGGATCGTGTTTCCACATGAGTTGAACTGATCCTTCATCCTTCGCAGGCTGGATTTAGAATTGATCTATGCTTATAGAAAGACATTGAAAACAAAAAAATAAAAACAGTTGAACTGAATTCTTTGTCCTTTTGAGTTCTTTGATGACTCGACATCCAATTTGGTAATTTGTGTTGTACGTGTCATTCTATTCATAAGTATTAACGACTTAGTATTGTGACTATTGTCCAATTTGCATAATTAATCATTATTAATTATATAATATATACATATATATATAGGGTTCAGCCTCCTGATGAGTCGGTGAAACTCCGACGAAACAGTTTGTCACAGCCCCTCGTTTGTTGTCCTCTTCTCTCTCTCTGCCTACGGTTTACCGGGCAGTTCTGTTTGTGACGATATATACTACGACTTCGCT